AAAACAACAAAAAAAACTAGCCAGGCGTGATGGCACACACCTGTAATTCCAGCTACTTGAAAGGCTGAAGCAGAAGGATCACCTGAGCCCACCAGGTCAAGGCTGTGGTGACTGTGAGCATGCCACTGCACTCCAGTCTGGGCAACAGAGTGAGACTCCAACTCAAAAAAAAAAAAAGAAATGCAGCTGTTTTTTATGTTGGGTTTTACATTCTGCTGCTTTATTTACTTATTTATTTATTTATTTAGAGTCGGAGTCTCACTCTGTTGCCCAGGCTGGAGTGCAGTGGCATGCTCACAGTCACCACAGCCTTGACCTGCTGGGCTCAGGTGATCCTTCTGCTTCAGCCTTTCAAGTAGCTGGAATTACAGGTGTGTGCCATCACGCCTGGCTAGTTTTTTTTGTTGTTTTTTTAATTTTTATTTTAGAGACGAGGCCTCACCATGTTGCCCAGGCTGGTCTTGAACCCGTGGGCTCAGGTAATCCTTCACCTCCACCTCCCAAAGTGCTGGGATTACAGGTGTGAGCCACAGTTCCCAGCTTGCTAAATTTATTAGTTCCAACAGTTTTGATGTGATCTTTAGGGTTTTCTGCATGTAAAATCATATCACCTATGAACAGAGATAATTTTACTTTATCATTTTTAATGTTGATGCCTTTTATTTCTTTTTCTTGCCTCATTGCTTTGGCTAGAACTTCCAGTACTATATTGAATAGCAATGGCCAGAGTGAACATTTTAACCTTGTTCTCTTGATCTTGGAGGAGAAGATTTCGGTCTTTTTCCAGTAAATATGATGTTCACCATGAGTTTTCAACATATGGTCTTTATCATTTTGAGGTCGTTTCCATCTGTTCCCAGTTTGTTGGGAATTTTCATTGTGAAAGAGCCCCCTGTTTTGAACATGGTTTCCTCAAATAGGCATTGTGTCATTGTTCTCTTGGGCACCATTCCTAGCCCTGTCTATCTGAATATTTTCTTTTGTTTTTTAAATTTTTATTTGTACAAATTTATGGGGTACATGTGAAATTTTATTACATGTCTACAACATATAGTGATCAACTCATGATATTTAGAGTGTCCATCACCCAAGAAGAGTACAGTAAGCCTCCCACATACAAACAAATTCTGTTTGGGGAGCGCATTCATAAGTCCAGTTGTTTGTAAGTCCAATAGAGTTAGCCTAGGTACCAACTAACACAATCGGCTATATAGTACTCTACTCTAATAGGCTTATAATACTTTTTATATAAATGATACATAAGCACATAAAACATTTTTAATCTTACAGTATAGTACCTTGAAAAGTACAGTAGTACAGTACAGTATGACAGCTGGCATACAGGGCAGGATGTTACTGACTAGAGGAGGGTACAGTAAAGTACTTTAAAATACACAAAAGCACAGCCACTTATAGAGGATGTACACACGTGACAGTGTACACCAGACACATGAGCTGACTTATGTGATTGAACATTTTCCATTTGAGGGTTCACACTTGAAGGTTTGTATGTAGGGGATTTACTGTACATTTCTGTTAACAATAATCACCTTACCCTCCTGTCAAACAGCAAATTTTTTCCTTCTATGTGTTTGCACCCTTTAACCCACTTCTCTTTATCTGAATGTGTTCTCTGTGTCGAAAGTTTTTATAATTGTAAAATTGTGAGCAGTATGGACATGGTATGTGGGGTTTTGTTTGTTTGTTTGTTTTTTGAGACAGGGTCTTTTAGGCTAGAATGCAGTGATGTGATCATAGCTCACAGCAACCTCAAACTTCTGGGCTCATCCTTCTACCTCAACCTCCTGAGTAGTTGTAACTGCAGGTGCACACCACCATACTAAGCTAACTTTTTTATTTTTTTGTAAAGACAGAGTCTCGTTGTGTTGCCCAGGGTAGTTTTGAACTCCTGGCCTCCAGCGATCCTCCTGACTCAGCCTCCCAAAGTGCTGGGATTACAGGCATGAACTGCTGCACCTAGCCTACATGGAATATTTTCATATACTTACTTGTCCCTGAAGTCTGAGACAAGCTGTTTTGAAAAATAACCTGGTGTCACTTGATACCCAAAGCTGGCAGTGTCTCCTATGTATTTGTTACATATCATGTGCTTTTCAGAGTGCACTCAGTCTGCACAAATACGTAGGCATCGGAGGCTGGCAAGGAGGAAGCAAATCTAAGCCAAGAAAACTGCATGTCCTGATAGCAGCTTGCAGCACAACCCTGTCTCTTGGGACCCTCTGCTCATACACAGCAGCAGTGGAGTGGGCCCTGGAGAGCTCTTGGCCATGTCCCTGAGAGAACTAGCCTGACCGTGGAAATTCTCTTGTAGGAACTCACTTCCAGCGAGTGATCTCGGAAGACGGCCCTGCGGCTCAGGACCCAGAGAATGTCAAGAGGCTTCTCTTTTGCACCGGCAAAGTCTACTATGACCTCACTCGAGAGCGCAAAGCACGAGGCATGGTGGAGCAAGTGGCTATCACAAGAATTGAGCAGGTGAGGGCAGGTGGCACAGCATCCGGGTGCTGGTGTCCCTCTTGCGAGGTGTCAGCACCCTGGTGCCCTCACAGAGCATCGTTGACTGTGATGGGACTCCCAGGTCCCTGGCTTTCCCTGCCTGAAACACCAGCTTCCCTCTGCCCAGGCTTGCCTGCCCTTCCTTTGGCCTGACCCCACCGTCCTCTGCTGTCTCCTAGCTGTCGCCATTCCCCTTCGACCTCCTGCTCAGGGAGGTGCAGAAGTATCCCAATGCGGAGCTAGCCTGGTGCCAGGAGGAGCACAAGAACCAAGGCTACTATGACTATGTGAAGCCAAGGCTCCGGACCACCATCAGCCGCGCCAAGCCTGTCTGGTGAGACCTCAGACCCTTCCCTCACTCAGCTGGGGTGTAGGAGAGGATGACACGAGGCCACTTGACCATTGCCCTCACTGCTCCCTGTCTCTCTCTCTGTTTTTGTTTCTCTGCTTCTCTGTTTCTTTCTCTCTCTCTCTCTGTCTCTCTCTCTCTCTCTCTCTCTCTCTCTCTCACGCTTGGTCCCTCTCTCTCAGGTATGCCGGCCGGGACCCAGCGGCTGCTCCAGCCACCGGCAACAAGAAGACCCACCTGACGGAGCTACAGCGCCTGCTGGACACAGCCTTCGACCTGGACGCCTTCAAGAACTTCTCGTAGATGCCGCCTAGGGTTGCTGGGGCCACTGCCCTCTCCACGTCCATGACTGCCCTCGCTTCTCAACTAAAGAATAGTGCCTCAGCGCTGCCACACTCTGCCCTTCCTGCTGTGCCGCACGCCTTCCCTCTGCTCTCATAGGAATTAGGCTGTTGTGCCCCTCGAGTGCTTGGCTGCCCACAGGCCAGACACTGCCCAGGCTGTGCTGACCTCTGTCGAGCTGAGCCACTTTCGAGGAGGCGCTGGGGAGCAGGAGGAGGAATGGGAGACATCCCCACAGGATGTCTCTGGGGAGGGTCAACTCTGACCATGCCCCTTCCCACCAGTGTCACTCCTCGGGGTAGACTGGACCTTGTGTGGCTTCCTGGTGTGCTGGCAGCCCCTGTCACCCAGCAAAGCACAGGCTCCTGTATTTGGGAGTAGGGTAGCTTCATCTTGGGGCTGAACCTTAGAGTCCACAGAGAGCCCTGGAGTCACACCTGGTCATGGCTGGCAGAGGTTTCCAGGATGGGCCTCAGCTATGGAGTGACCTGGTATGACTCAGGGCAGCTGGCAAGAGAGAGCTTTGTCTGGCACAGAGTGGGCAGTATTGGGCTCTGTGAGGTCTGTTCTCTGCTGTCCCTCGAGGGTCCCGGGCTGTGTGTGGGGCCAAGCATGCTCCATCTACCCCACCTGCGGCTGGGCAGCACCTGGAGCCCACCGGGTCTGTGTGTGGCCAGGAAGCCCCACTTAGGTCACCACAGCTGCTCCGTCTTGGTCCTGCTAACCCTCTACCTCCACTCGCCTCCTCGCTGGGCCTCTCCCTGCCCCCCACCACTCTTTTTTCTTTCTGCTACTTCCCTTTAACCCAGTGGAGACTTTCTGATGCATCATTTTCTTTGCTGTGCCAAAGCAGGTCAGGAGAGAAAGAGGAGGGGCGGGTGGTGAGGGACAGGCCATAGCCAAGGGGCCAGCTGCCCTTCATCTGTCACTCTGACCTTCATAGGGACAGATCTGATTTATTTATTTTGGTTAAGAAAAAAGGAACAAAAACTTTGCATTGCATTGGCTTGACCCATAAACTAAGTTATCCATGGGCCTGTCTGCTGTGTCTTTCTGTCTGTTCCGCCTTCTCGTCTTAGAGGCTGGGGCTGGGCCAGGCTTAACCCGTCCCTCTTGGACGGGGAGCAATGACTGTCACCTGCCCTGCTGCACAGGGTGCCTGGGCCCATGCCGCACAGGCTGAGGGCCCCTTGCCCTCGGCCGTCCACACGCACCCTCGGCCATCCACACACTCCCTCGCAGGCAGCAGCCGTCATCATCAGCATGACATGGGCTGCCATGCTGTGCTTGGGTCTCATTTCCAAGCTTTCCCTGCCCTTGGGTTCTCTTCCCTACTCCACCTAAAAAAATGTATTTGAGCCAGCATGCCTGTGGCTCACCTGAATTACGTGTTAGTTATAACGTGTCCCCCAGCCAAACAGCTCTTCCAACCTGAAGATAAGGCCCCCGCGTCAACACGTGCCCTTAGTCTTCCCTGGCCAAGAGCCCACTGTCTCCGTCCTGCGGCAAACCAGGCATTGGCCTCCAGGGGGCAACCGATCTCACCACTGAGGAGGAGCTCAGGGCAAGGAAGGCCTGGGTGTGGGTCCCCAGTCTCTGACCACCACCCTGCTCTCTAGGCAGCGTCTACCGGGTCCCCCGTCTTGTCTCACCTGCCAGTCCCAGGTGGAACAGGTCCTGGGTCAGGGTGAGGAACTGCCCAGAGTTGTAGAGACACTACTGTGTGTGTCTGCCCATGGCCAGTGCCCACCTCACACCCGACAGTCCACCAGGGGTGGGAGTTGACGAGAGCTTTATGGAAACTACCTTTTGCCTGGAGGGGTTTTTGGCGGTGTCCCACATAGAGGGAGTTTACCATTGATAACTACCATTTGCTGTGTCCTGTTCTCCTGTGTCTGGGTGGTGAGCCAGGTTTTACCGTTTCACCACATTCCAAAACCTTCTGGACAAATGACTGTAGGGTGGACTGTAGCAAGGGAGCCTAGGACTCACCTCTAGCACCTCCAGGCTGGCCAGGGAGGCAGAAGATCTGGGTGAGCAGAGCCCGAACTGGCTCAGAGAGGCCTGGGAGCACTTCGCAAAGCGTGAGGCTTGAGCTGGTTCCTGAAGTGGCTTGGCAGAGTGACCCCTCGGTCACCAGCCATAGGCCCTTCTGGCAGTAGTTACCACAGGAACGGGCACGGCATCTCTGGAAACTCGGAGTACGTGGAGGTCTCATTTCTCTGCATGCAGGTCTGCTGCCCTGAGCACCCAGCAAGAATGGGGCTCGTTAAAGCTTGGCAGGATGAGAGACAGACCACACTGGACCAGGTGCTACCGCCAGTGGGCTCTTAGTGCTTGTGTCATGGCAGGGATGGGGAGGAGCTCACACATGCTGTCATACAAATGGTTCCCTGGTTCGTTCAGTTCTGCTTTAGGTTTAAGCAGTGTAGGGAGCATCCTGTGTGTTTATACAAGACTTCATCAGGACCAATGTGTGTGCACATGTGGACATGTGTGAGTGTGATGCAAGTGAACATGAGCAGAGGGGTTGGGTGGTGACCTTGGGGTAGTGACACAGATTAAGCGGATTGTGTGTGTGTGTGTGGTGAGATGGGGGCTGCAACACAGTGCTGCCCAGTCTTGGCCCTGCCCCCTCCATGCCCCTCTCTCCACGCCTGGCTCTGGGTGAGCTGAAGGGAAATGCGAACTGGTTTTTAGGACAAGGGGGTCCTGCCCAGTCGGTGAGCAGCTTGGCCCCTGTGACTCGTCCCCGAGGCTCCTGAACTTTTGTTGATGGGACAGGACAGATGGGGACATCAAGAACAGTCCAACCCATATCATTGTCAGGTGAGAATGGAGTCCAGGCTCGATGTGGCTTCCTTGTGCTTTTCTGGATGTAAAGGACACAGTACCTGAGCTAGATAGGGAACAAGGTGGTGAGATTGTCAGCTTGCTCCACCAGGGAGGGAGCTGTAGAACCAGGCAAGAGCTCATACTTCCCCAATGGTGACACCTGTGCCACTACCAGTGACAGGTGGGATGGGGAGGGCCAGGGCTAGAGGTTAGGGCCTCACGAAGAGGAGCATCGCCAGCCCCATGAACCCAGTGTGGTCTGAGAGCCAGTGTGCCCAGGGGCAGCTGAATGATGGGCCAAGGTTTCACTCCATTCCCAGGTTTGTGCAAATGTGTCCACAGTTGAGGAGGAGGCTTCAGGCACCACTGGGGTGACTCGGAGGCCCTAAACCCACATTCCTTTTCTGGAAACAGAGACTTAGAATAAATGTCCAGTGTTAACTTTAGTCCTAACTTAAGTGCAGTAGTGAGCTTTCTGTTGGGATGGTATTCTATTGGGATTGCACTGAACAAAAATGGTAGAAAATTTCCCTGTCTAGGATTTTATGATCCTCCTACCAGCAGGTCTCCACTCAGGGACCCCTGCTCTGCTGTCTCTGGTGTCTGCTGTCATGTCTGGCTTGCTCAGTTCCCAAAATAAGTTATCGGAAGCCTGGGCAATAAAGACCTCATCTCTACAAAAATTTTAAAAGCCTGGCATGGTGGCGTGCGCCTATAATGCCAGCTACTCAGGATGCTGAAGTGGAAGGATCTCCTGAGCCCAGGAAAACTGTGATTGTGCCACTGTACTCTAGCCTGGGTGACACAGTAAGACCCTGACTTTTTAAAAAAATTATTAGAGGCTTTCCTAAATAAGGGCCAGAATCTGAGGTCTTCTCCAGGACACTTAAAAGGTCTGCCCCACCACTTCCATGGTCTCTTCCCCCCAACACCCAGCCTTGTCCATCTCCCTACACTTCTCTGTCCTTTTTCTATGGCCTGTATCACCATCTATTGAGCCCCCTAGCTCATGGGCTCAGGCCTCCAGGGCTCAGTTCACGGGCGGAGGGGGAGTGGCTTGTCAGTCTTGGGACCTGCATAGATTCTGCCTCTTCTACAGCTCTCCTTTGGGCAAAGGTGGACCCCAGGTGGGTTCTGGCCTGCCTTTGAATACCTCTGGCCTGGGCACCCTGAGCTAGGTCTTTCCCTGCCTGGACCTCTGCCCTAACTAAGGATCCAGCTCTGATGGGGAAAAGGCACCCCATGCCAAAGGAAGCAGGGTTATTCCATCTGTGCTGGGCCTCCTATCTCATTTTTCTGCTCCACTGGATCCTGAAGTTTAGCCTGAACAGAGTTTAGCACCTAAGTGCAATCGAGGCTCTGGGCTGTGGATTCAGGTACAGTTTTGCCTAGTTTGGAGTTAGCATAGCTGCAATGCTCCAGAGGCCAAAGAAGGAGTGCAAACAGCTTTTCGTGTCCGGGTTGGCATGTCCAAAGCCCTGGTGGTCCATGGGAGTAGATGTTACCTGCACCCAGATGTGCTGGAGGGAAATGCGTGGCGTTTAGAAATCCAGGCAAGATAGAAACAGGTGGAGGGAAGACACATCAGGAAGGCTCGCGCTCCACTGCAACATGGGACGGGGAGAGAGCAGGTCAGGGGGTATGTGGATTTGAAGGCTTTGTGACAATTTGGTGGAAACGTCAGGAAGGCCATTGGTTGTACGAATCCCAGTAGGGAGGGCTACTCTGGGTCCTATGAGTCATCTGTGGGTGGAGGTCCTGGCTCTGGGGGAAGGACTAAAACAGTAGGGAAGGATGGGGCAGGGCCAGGGCAGCTGTGCAGGGGCTGAGTCTAGATTTCCCAGGGCTCCTTTCTCTCCCCTACCCGCCACCAGGTCTTGTCCCCTATCTAGGCTTTTCTTGTCGGCCGTGCCAGTAACCTGGCAGTACCACTTGGCATCCTGTACCCCTCATCCCTCCCCCGCTGCTGGGACTGTGCCAAGGGTCTCCTGCTGGTCTCTCTCCAGGATGTGGACCATCTTGTTCCTGCAAAATGATCTCCTTCAAACTCAGATTGCATCCTGTCTGTCCCCTGTAGAAAGCCAATAGCTCGCCTTTCCCAGAGGATCGGATTGCTCCAGGGGCCCTCCTGCCTCCCCACCGAGGCTCAGGCTGCTCATCGCCCCGGCAGTCCTGGAGAGGAACTGGGCACCCCTTCCCGGTCTCTTCATTCCCTCTATCAGAAGTCCCTTTCCGTGTCTTGTCTCTGGAACTTCCTCCCTTCCAGCCTAGCCCATCACTCAGGAGCTGTGTGTCCCCACCTGATCACTGGCTTGTTTGGTGTCCCACATGTTGGCTGCAGTGCCTGGCATGGGGGACTCCCAGGATGAAAGGCCACTTGTCTATTGAATGTTCCCTCTGTTGGAGGGATGGTGACTAGAGACTGGGCGGAAAGGTCGGCCATAGGTAGGAAAATGGAAGAGGCCATCCTGGGGGGAACCTGTCATGTCTCCTTTCCACAACTCAACACCGCAGCCCCCTGGACCACAGTGAGCCAGGTCCTGCCTGGGCTTCCCAAAGTTGGGATGGTGCCAAAGCCCCAGTCCCCACACGTCCAGGACATATTCACTAACAGTCAGCACTTGCTCTCTGAGGTTCAAGGTACTACAGAGGTTGTGTTGATTTTGTGAGTTGTAAGAACCTTCTCCGTACCCCCTCACTTAGTGCCGGTCGCTTCTGCTTCCCTGAAGAGACCTCCCAGAGTCTGATCACTGCTCTCACTCTCCCAGAACCTCACTTCTCAAATGCCCCTGGTGGTTTCCTGCCTCAAAACCAGCTCTGCCTCTGTCATCCTGTGCACTTCCCACACCCCAGTCATTTTTACTCAGCCAGAAGAAAAATGTGTGACATCGCTTTGTTGCTTTGTTTGTAGATACCCCTACGGTCACCCAGCGAGGAGTTAGGATTGAGATGTTGCGTTTCAGTTACTGAACAAGCCCCAGTTACTCCCTGGTTAGCAGTGTTAACTGGTTGGTCATTAACTTTTTGAGGGTGCTGGCAGATGTTAGGCAGTGGTAGAATGGAACTAAGTAAGGAGAAGGAAGGTACATCCTTGCCTTCGAAAACCTCACAGGGAACTTCCTCCCTGCCAGCCCAGCCCATCATTCAGGAGCTGTGTCCCCACCCAGTTGCTGACTTGTTTGGTGTCCCACATGTTGGC